TGGACGAGTTTAGAGTGTATCGATGTGAGGGAAAGTCAACATTAAATGAATGAAGGGCTTTTAAGGAGCCCATTATAACCACTTATAAGAGAAAATGTAGTTCCCATTAGAGATTGATTTAAGGCACTCCGGTTCATCACCGAAGCATGAAGGCTGCTGTGTGGTGTTCTGTGCAAATCATTTTTATAGCATCCTCTGCTGAGCTCTCTCTGGTTAATCTGTTGGTGTATCTAAACCTGGAAAGACTGCATCTGTCTTGTTTAAGGAATATAAAAATTTCCAGAAACTTAAGCCAAAGATTAGCATATTTTTCATTTATCTGATAGAATATTAAAAAATAAAAAAAGCCTTACCAGTTTTAAACAGACATAGCCGCACCAGATGTCAGGTCTTGGATCATTTAATCTTTTTCTCTGGTGCCTATTTTCAATAATATTTTTCTGCTTGAACCAAATATTAGTTTCTGGCTCAGCTTGCAATATAAAAATTTTCCAATTAGATTGCTCTGACTTCATTTTTATTCATGAGGGGGAACTTAATAGAGATCATCACATATTTGGGGCATGTAGGAAGTGAGCTTGAAAATAAACCACCTGGCCCAGGGCGGAGCAGAGCACTTGGAATTCTAATCCTGTTAGGAATCAGAGGGAGGCTGCCTACATGGGTGTACATCCCCTATCCCTAAGTAATTCTTAATTTGGGTGAAATCCTTGGATTTGTATTGTTCTGACATGTGAGTGACCTCATTTCCAATTCTGGGTGAATTTAACTCCTTGCTTAGCTTAAAAGAAAAATCTCTTTATGAATAGTTAGTGGTTATGTGGATACATTGTAGAGTGGCGAAGGAATCTAGGCTTCCAGTGTACTTGCCACACCCACCTGTGCACGTGATACTTGCTGGGTGAATTTTTCATCCCTCTACCCCTTCCCCCCACCTTCTGAGTTTGCTTAGCTTTTGTATGGATTTTCTGCCTACTTCTGTCATTTAGGGAAGTATAAGGACAACGTGAAATGTGACAATGTTTGACTTGAAGGAACTTGTGCTTTGGGGCTGAGGAGGCCAAGCAAAGTGGCCGTGTCACAAAGCGTGTGAGTCAGTACCTTACAGTAAGTGATGGGTGACATGTGAAGTGACCTAAGGAGAGAGAAGGTCAGGAAAGGTTTGGCAGAACTAAGCCCCGTGCTGGACCCTGTCAGAAGGCAGAGTGTAGCAAGGTGCCCTTGAACTCAGGGAAGGAGTAAGGATAGAGGCACAGAGCTGGGGAGGAGCCCAGTGGGTTTCCACCTCAGTGCAAGACTGAGTTCATGAGAATGGGACACCCAGCCACCATCTTTTTCTTTTTTTCATCACTCAAGTTATTGAATGCGTACGAGCGGCCCCCAACTCATTGCAGCATGGCTTCCACTCCTGCTATTCCACCACTACCGTCCTGTCGGAGGCCTCGATGACCCCCGTCTCCAAGAGGCAGGGAAAAGGGCCAGGCACATTCAGACAAGGGCAGAATGGCTACTGGGAAAGAAAAGGGTAAAAAACCTTCACTCTTGCCTCCATAAGGCATTCATTTCAACATATTATCCATATGTTATCTCTTTACATCCTTACCACCACATTGTGTATGTGCCAGGGGCCAGGAACTTCTGTTTTAACTTGCAGAATCTATGCTGAGGCATCGGACATTGTTAATTCTACTTTTTCTAGCTCATCTCCAAATGCTTTCTGGCACCAAAGGTTATTGAAAGATACCAGGGTATACACCAAGCTGGATTTAAATCCTTGCTCCACTGCAACTAATACTGTTGAATTATGGAAATTAATTAGCACCTCACAGCCTGAGTTTAACAAAAATAAGGATACCTAACTCCTAATGTGGTAAGGATGAAAAGATACAACACACGGATAATACGTTGAAATAAATGGGCGACAGAGTGAGACTCCAACTCAAAAAAAAAAAAAAGAATACAAAAAAAAAAAAAGAAAGAAAGAAATGACTTACGGAAGGCAGGAGTGAAAGTTAGTTCCCTTTTCTTGTCCTTGCCTGAATGTGCCTGACCCTTTTCTCTTCTCTCCCTTTGCCCAGACATTTCTGTTTTCCAGAATGTCCTATCTCATGTCTTCTTTTTTTTTTTTTTTTTTTTTTTGTGTTTT